CGCTGTGATGGTGAATAATTCAAATCATCATAAACTTGATTCAATATAGATAACCATTTATCTGTACTAATTTTTTCTTCTTCTGCTAAAATTCGAACATGTCGACGTACTGATTCGTTTGGTGTACTTATATGTTGTGCTTGTGTTGTAAGAACTGGTTGCATCGTTTTTTCGATTGTTTTTGTATCTTCATTTAAATTTGAAGGCGAATCATCATTAATCATAATTGGAAATTAAGTTTCGTCGTTGAATACGTAGGACAGAATCAACTCCTAATTAAGAAGGATTCCTTCTTTTAGAAATTATAATCGTTATTGAATTAAAAAAGAAAAAAAATTTTCTAAACCGCTGTCACCACTTGTTATGTTTGATATCTAGATGAATAGGCGTGTTCGATATCTGTTAGAACATAACTGCCCGTCTTTATTTCACAATACATATATATATAACAACAATAAGAAAGGAAACACGAAAGAAATAGTCGAGGTATAGATGTCATGACTGAATGAAATAAACCATAACACCAAGCAACATCAGAATTTCTTAAAAAATATGTTGATGTGGGTACTGTTGGATTTTATCATGATGACCATAGGTCGACGAATAGTAATGTAATACTGTTAGTGTGGGTGTGGGATAAGACATACACTTACACTCCGACCCACACCCACCGTCCGCTGAGTAATTAAACTAAGAAGTATTTTTAATAGATTTTAGATCGACATTGTTGCTGAAAATTTTGAGCGCGAGGAAAGATTTTTAAGAATCTTGTGTCATATTCAATATGTCCTTCATATTTAGCCAATAGACATTAAAGCAAGGCTAAAATTTTGGATATATAGATAGATTTTATATGCTCTTTTATATCATATTATCGAAAAGATGTAAAGCAACATTTTTCAGAGGAAATGATTTCTCAATCGAGTAATAGATTGTCTCTTAAAATAACTTTGAGAAATTTATGAAATTCTTATGAGCCATCCACAACAATCAATCGTTACCGTTCTTCGTTAAAAGTATAACTCATAAACATAGTTATTGCTTTTTTTGTCTTTACTATCCAGAGGAGTAATCCTTTGTGATTGTTACTCAACATTTTCTTCAATAACAACTTAGAAAAAGATTCTTTTGTTTGTTTTTAAAATGTGATTACTGTGCTTCCAATAAAATGATTTAGAATAGAGAAAAGAGAAGAAAAATAAATTTGCATTTGTACATGAGAGTCACAACAAAAAAACATGTGTATAAATTACCGATTAGAAGTAAGAATATTTAGAGAAAATAATTGTAGAAAAATGCGTTCAATAGAACATTTGATTTCCGCAAATAGTAATCTTGTTTGAAGTAGACATTATCAAACTCTATTCAATCATTAAGATAAGATTTATCTTGCTTTATATGTCAACCTGGCAAAACATCATTTCTATTGAATATGAGAATAATATTTTTCTTCACTCAATCCATATACCACACTCACAAGTTAATGTTCAAAAATTGTAAATAAAGAAAAAAATTTTATTTGATTAAAAAGAAACTATTCTTTTTACAAAATTTGACAAGTATGAGAATTAGCTATTTAATTATTATCAGATGATGACAATGTTACTTCCAGTTTGTTTCTTTTTTTTTGAGATAAAGTCTTTATTGTTATAAAATATTTTGGGTGTGGATGTGAGTGGGTGTGGGTATGAGTCTTCTGTTCATCCACACGCACACCCACACCCACACCCACCCACACCCACCCACACCCACCCACACCCACACCCACACCCACACCCCAAATCTCTCATTAAAATAATCATATCGCACTTTGGCACCTTATCAATCATCTCTTGTAATTGTAAATAAAATTGATCACATTTATCGATCATAGATGTGTTATATCGATTAATTGGAGCATAAACAGAAATATAAGTCACATTTATTGGCGCACTATACATTCGAGTCTTAATAATTCTTTCATTAACTGCCTCCCATTCTGAATCTGATGATTTCCGAATATTCGTTGCTGTTTTATTTAAACAAAGCGCTAAACCATGTGCTTATCTTGTTTTATTAACTTTCGGAAGTCTGGAATACATCATTGTAAAATCACTTGTTAATTTTATTCTTGACTCATATATACCTGTTTCACATAATGCAGCCACTTTTATCTTGTACCTCTTTAACTGTTTAAGAATCAGTTGTTGTTTACGGTAATAGAAATAGGAAATTTAATGTCTTATCGACAGGTGGCTACTGGCAGCTCAGACTCGCCTACCCACTACTTTTAAGACAGACATAGATCCCTGTGAAAGTTTTAAAACCTCTCCGGCAGGCTCGAATTTAAAGAGAAGCTTGCGCTAAAGTAAGAAATTAAGATATTAAATGGTGACAGTGATACAGAATACCGCTTATGCAGCTGATTAGTATGTAAACTGAAGTATTGAGATCAATATGCCATGCGTTCAGTTTTTGTTGGTTCTGTTTAGAAAATCTTGAAAAGATCCTGCCAAGAAACTCGTAATATCTTCAAGGAAACCTGGTCAAATTCTGAAAGGGACGACCAGAATTATTTTCTAATTTGGAATCATTCAAATACATACAGGATTCTACAATTCTGTAGCTACACATGTTTTTCAGGATTTAGCCGTTTTCTCCGCAAATAGCAGCGAATGCTTGTCGGCCGTGATCATATCCGTCACGGTTCTGATGCTAGAACATCATAAAAGTTCTATAGGTCTATGCATGTTTTTATAATTATTGTTATCCACGTTAATATTCTTGATAATAATGATTATCATCATGTAGGCTCTGTCAGTTTTTATTATTTGTTTTTAAACTTGTTTTTCTTAAATTGATTGGTTGAAAATTGAGTAGTTGACTAATACCTTCAAGATAATTTTCTCAAACATCAGTTATTTTTCTTCTGACTTTTATTAATAAAAAGCCGAAAAAGTACTAATGGTATGAAACTACATGAATTGCTAATAAACACAAAAAATAAATAAATAATTTTCTATGTTAAATATTTGAATGTGCTGAATAGTAGCACGAAATTTGATGGAAGATAAACTTTTTAGTATATCATGAAGTAACATATTGTTCGGTAAATGTAATTAGAAGCCCAGAAGCATGTGCTCTATTTTTGGTCATAGTGTTTATATTCTTTTAAGCTATCCATTCATGGACAGAAAAATGCAAAGACGATGATGAGTTAGATTCGAATTATCGATAATCACTGAATATGGATGTGGATGCTTTCTACACCACATAAAACTGGCACTGAGTGAATCTGATTTCCAGTAGGATATAAGGTAAAGGGAAGAACCTATATCACAAGGATCGGGTCTGAAGCCCAAACTGTTACGAAGATGATACCTTGACTAGAATGAGATCTGCAATCCAGCAACATGCTAACGGGGAAATATTTTCAACTAATACGTGTCGTTCGAGCTCATGTATTGTTGATAGTTGAGAGTGATCATGTATATAAATTATCTAAAAGAATTCGTGCCATTGCCGCTTGGTTTCAGAAGTAGGAACGGAACAAGTATTATGATAGTTGGCGCCGGATTCTCTGAGTTATTTGTTTATCTTCTCGTATTTTTATTAGGAAATGCATTTTTCCGTTCAAAATCTGATTTGTAAATTATCTTGTTTATCACTCGTCACCCTTAAATTCTCAACTGAATCTGACTTGGCTTTCAGACGGAAGAAAACAGGAGTTCTTCTAATGATTCTTCTATTTCAAACAAATAACACGCTATGCACTGTCGTCGAAGAAAAAAATATTCTTTACGCTGCATAGAACAGAATCCTCTTGTTGTATCCTACTAAGTTTTTTAATTTTCTATTTGAAGGTGGAAGCTTTGTTTCATGCACTTTTTTGAAAAATATCATCATTACACATCGACCAGTACCCTTCCTCGAGCGTTTATTTCATTTGGCTTGGTTTCGTTGTATGCTTTTTCAGTTATTTGTGAAAGGACAAATACTTTAACTGTTTTTTCATTTTGATTTTCTTTTCTTCTACAGGGAATCAAAGAAAACCGTAGAAATCTTCCTTGGGCTTGAGTTTGAGAAGAATAAAAGCGATTATCGAAAAAAAGAAATAAGAAATGTTGTGTATCTCAGACGCAAAGTCAGATTCAACTAAGATTTTCAGGGTGAAGAGTCATAGAAAAGATAAGTTCGTGATCAAATTTTTAGTAGAAAAATGTATTTCCTACGTAAGATATGAAAAGAAAAATTAATGACACAGAGAAGGTAGCACTACCTACCATGACACTTGTTCTTCTCTTCGCACTGAAACTAAGCAGCAGCGCTACAAATCCTTCTGGATAATTTGTATACATGATCAACTTCAACCACCAACAAAGCATGCGGGCGAGGGATGCTTATCACCTGCGAATGTTCACTTGTAAGAGAGAATTCAAGCGTAACATGGTCGTAAGCGGCTTACCAGATTCTTACAGAAACTTGGAAAGCTATCGGGTATAGTTCTAAAACCCGAACTGTGCAGAAGCCGAGCCAGAGTAGTGGTTCCAAACCACGTCTGTAACGAGCACTGTAGTCAAGTTCGAAGCTGGTACTCTAATTGAGAATATGATCCAATTCGAAGTACAATCTGAAGCTGAGGTCTCCAAGCTGAGGACAAAAATCGACCATAACTGCTTTAAAAATGAGTACCAGTTCGTAAAAACTTTGGGATGGATACAGGACAACGAGTGAAAGCTGGACGAGAAGTTAGGCTTGACAGAGTCCGCACTAAATACAACCAGTTCGATAGACCTTGATATTAAGGTTGAAGTTGATAATGTAACTAAATCTGTGGCTGAGAGTGTCAGTTGTGTCTGAAGCTGACTTCCAACTGAGATGGATAGCAGATTGACGATTTGAACTGCAACTTAAACGAAAATCATGACTGGAAAAGAAATCTTAATCAAAGCAACAATACACACAACGATGGTAGCCGAGGCAGTTGCTGAAAGTGAGTTTCTGGTTTCTGCAGGGATCGGAAACGATCTTAAAGCCGAGAGTGCTTCCGAACCTTGATCTTTGAGGAGAAACATGGCCAAGGGCAGGAAATGCTTCCAAAAAATGATATTAAAAACCAATATCTTGTCACAATACGTAGAAGGCGTGACACGACATGTGCGCGCGCGACATTTACGCGCATTAGAATGAATTTTTTCCTCTCCATATTGTTTGATTAGTTAAACTCATCAATGTGAATAAAAAA